TGTCCCAGCATCTACAGTCGCGGTTGAGCAAGCATTCAGTGAGGGCGGCTACATGCTAGATCCACGACGGTCGAGGATGACGCCTGATAATCTTCAAGCACAAATGTTACTGAGTGATTGGAAGAAGGCCGAACGAAGGATGCAAACTGCTATGCTCACTTCGAATGAGGAGGAGGACGACAACGACGAAGCATCCGATTTTACGTCGTCGACAAGTGGAACCGGGGGGGACGTCGAAGACGAATACGAATATTAAAGGTATGCAGCCAAGGTATGTGTTTTAGAAGAACTACGTGGACTTTGATTCCCAAATAAAGGGATACGTAGGCACCTTATTTAACATTATTAAGTTCGAGTATAATTTTTTGGTAACAAAATTTTTCATCGCACACGATATTCGAACTTAATAACTGTTAACTAAGCTCAAGTCCATTTCATTAATAATTTTTTTCTTTACACTTAAGTTGTACTTCTCCGCCATACTCAATAAAATACAACACCGTTAACCGTTTGACGTACAATTTAACAGACTCAAAAACTTATATTTTCGAAGTATATACAAACTATTTATTCAAATAAACATTAATATACATTAAAATAACAAAAAAAAGAAAAAAAAAAATTAAAAACCCGCAAACCCGCCGGGCCCGACCCGGAACCGAGTCGACCCGCCGGGTTTGCGACCCGGCGGTTAAGGGCCGGGTTTGCGAACCGGCCCTTGGTTACAGGCGGGCCGGGCCCGGTTCAACACATGGTGAACCGGCGACCCGGCGGGCCGGGCCGGGTTTTCCCAACTCTCTAGATGCTAGTTCCTCCATATAGTAAGTTGATCTTTTGTTTTCCCAACTCTCTCACCAGTTGACTTACAACATGGATATTATGAGGGAAATTGACAAGCTTAGGACCACCAAGAACACATATGATTTTTATAGGTTGAAGAACCTTAGTAGCTTGGGAAGATTCAGAAACCTCCATTTGGAGTGGAGAGATACTTGATCATAAGGAATGATCGACTTATTTAAAAAGAAAGTTTAAGAAGAGATAAGTATTATATTGTTGCACTCGGATGCTCGAACTCGGCAAATTAACTCGTGCTTTCTCGAAAGCACTCTCGCTAATGCTCGGCCCGCTTAACGAGGGCCCACGGGGTAACCGAAGTCGCCGCATGAAATGAAGCTCGCCAGTAATGACGGAATAGAAAAAACAAATATCTGCTGTCCGTTTTCTTCCCGGCAGACTCCGAAATACTCGATAAATGGCTCGAACTACATCGTGCGGGAACGATCTACACGTCCCGGCTTATTTTTTGGTAAAGTGAAATATAACACGACCCTAAAAAACGTCAATTACTTGCCGGAAAAAAAAAATGAAAGAATGGGTGATTTGTTAATTATTTAGCCCATGAGGAATAGAATTAGCCCAAAAATTGATCGGAAAATCATGGTTGTGTAGAAGGGTTCATTGGCGACATATAAGAACAAGCGGAAATCAATTTCGAGCTTGGACGAGTCCGAACGGGCCCAAAAAGCAAAGTCGCGTGAAACACGTTTAATGTATAGGTCAAGAGCTTTGGGAGAATATGATTTCATGAATAATTTGGTCATGCATGAATCATTGAATAGAGGGGATCGTTAGCTACGTATAGGAAAAAACGAAACTCAATTCCGAATTCAGACGAGCCCAAATCACAAAACACATACTATATATTAATTTTTTTATTCATTAATTTTAAAATTTAAAACGTATTATCAAAATACGTTTTAGTTCTTAATTATTTGTAAAACATATAACCAAAATACGTTTTACAAATAATTAAGAACTACAACATACTTTGATAATACGTTTTAGTTTTTAATTATTTATTTAGTTGTTAAATATTTGTAAAACGTATAATCAAAATACGTTTTATTTATATAATATGAGATTTCACAGTAAAACGTATTCAGAATATACGTTTTACACTTTAAAACGTATTCTCAGAATACGCCTTTTTTATTTTTGTCTACATTTTTGTTTTTGTTTTTGCTTTTGTCCAATTAATTTTTATTATTTTTATTAGTGTAAAAAATTCATAGTGTTGTTAAATATTCTATGTATTATTTTATTCATTCCAGAGTTTCATTTTCTCAATCGATTAGCTCAGTATCTGGTTCACTTTTCTAACATTTGAAATTAGAATTACATCGCAAAAAATGTCTGAGGCACTGTTCAACTAGAGATTGGACAAAACAAGTCGAAAAATGCTAGAGCACATACTTGAAGCAAATCATAAAAAATGTCAGAGAAAAAAAATAAAATAAAATAAAGAAAGTGTATATAACTATATTTAAATAAAATGACCTTAAAATGGAATAGAACGCAATAAAAAATGTTTATCACGTGTAGTAAATCCTTGACAAGAAGAAAATATCAAAAACAATTTTACCAATTTCTTTGCAAGAAATCTAAACCGCGGGAAGACTTTGTGGTGCTGTATTTTTTTAATGAGCCCCTCTAGAGTAAAAGCTCCATCTTTTAATTTGATTTGAGTCAAATATTGAACAATAAAGATGATGGATCATCGATTATTATATAATATAATCTTTCTAAAAAGAGATTATCCATCTACCGTGGTGTGATATCATATCCGCCATAGGTGTTGTAGGCTAAAGCTTTTTTTATCTGCTGAGTCAAAAGCAGCAAAGGACATGCATTTCAACATATTTCTATTTTTGAACTTGATATTGAAGATCCTCTTAACTTTGAATTTTATATTTTGCTCCCGCCGCCATTTAGGATGAAGCAAGCAAATTCCCTTTGTGCTTGTGTATACACTCCAGCTTGTTGAACTAGTGTTCTTCTCTTGGTACATGCACGTATGAACAGGTCAAATTAATTTATATCAAATCATTTTATTTTCAACTAAATTTTCAAATATTAATTCAATTATACGTAAAAGAGATTAAAAATCAATCAGCTATTGAAGTTTAAATCTATTTACGACATTTCTTCACTTAGGGTAATTAGAATTTTTAGTGACATTTTGAGATTCTTTAAGATTTAAAAATTTTTAAGATTTTCAGATATTGTAAGAGTTATGTGAAATATTAAGTCTGAATGTGAGATTTGAAGTGTAATTTCATATAATGTTTTTTCTTTAGAAATCACACCAAATTAGTGTTTGTTTAAGGTTTCTCCTAGTTTTACATTATGATACCTTCTAATTCAAAAAAATAATTATTATTTATACATTTATGTTTAATTTTAATTCATTATTTATTTAACTTTTTAATTTTTCAAATGAATTACTATTGGAAAAAAACAATAGATATCTTTATTAAACTTAATAGTTACGATTTTATCAATAAATTTAATTTTTTAACTAAAAACAAATGTTCAACCAAGACTTGTTGGATTTCTATAAACTAGTGTATATCCCGTGCGATGCACGGAAGAGTTCATATTTTAAACATTTTTTAGACTTTATTTTAAATATAATTATTTATATTTTTCACATCTCGTCTATTATGAAAATAAAATAAATACAATCAATGAATAATATATAATATTAAATACTTTTCTTTATACAATATTTTTTATTTAAGGAATATTATTAAACCTTACGGTTTTGATTTGTTTTTTTAAATCAATAATCCAAAATATATGATTGTTAACGTACAAAAAATAATAGAAATAATCCAGACTTTAAAGTAAAGCTATTTTTTATTATTTTACAAATAAAAATCTTTCAATTTTTTTTTAATTTAAAAGAAAAATTGGCAAGTTTGATAATGAGTTAAATCAAGTTATACAAATGATTAAATAGTTAAAATGTTATATTAATTATATTTTAAGAAATCCGATTATATAAAAATGGGTAAAAAAATATTATACTAATTAGTTTGTTAGGAATGTGATTCTATGGAAGTTAAAATAAAATGAAATGTAACCAAAAAATTTGTTCGTGGTTTTTTCCTAAATGTTTGAATTTAAAAATCTAGTAACCAAATTTACATTATATCACGTAAGGAAAAAAATAAATAACAAATATTTATTAAAGAGATAAATCAATAATATTTATCACTTAGATAATAAATAATAAATATTTACATGTAAAAAAATAAATAATAATATATTTAAAAATATAAGTCAGAATTTCAAATAAAGTAAAAGGAGGGATAACTCATTTTTTAAAAAAAGTTTCTAAATATTTAATATATTGATAAGTATCTCCATAAGAATAATCATACCATTTTAATTTTAAAAAAATTGGCAAGTTTGTTAGAGAGATAAATCTGGTTAGAGAAATGATTAATTTGTTAAGATATTATATTAGTTGTATCATAAAAAATCGGTTAGATAATGTAGATAAAAAAATATAATACTAATTAGTTTGTTAGAAATGTGATAATGAAAACCAAGATAAAATGAAGTTTACCCAAAAAAATTGTTTGGAATCTTTTCCTTTAAATGTTTGAATTTACAAATTTAATACCAAAATTCTATTATATCACATAAGGAAAAAATAAATAATAAATATTTATTAATATATTAAAATATGTAATTTTAAATTTCATATAAAGTAAAAGGTATGCTTATTCAAATTTATTTTTAAAATAAAAGTTATGATAAACATTTATTGATTCTCTTTCAAATATATTAATAAAATAAAAATATAAATCTAAACAAATTTTGAAACAACCAAAAAAATCGGATTGATTGGCATAAAAAAAGGAAGTGAAATTGGATTTGAATGCTAAAATCGGAACACCTTACCAAATTGAATGCTAAAAGATTCGATTTGATTGGTTACCTAATTGCATGGGCTGAAAAAATTCTAAAAAAAAATTTTACGAATTGAAGAAGCGGGAAAACGAAATGATTATTTTCGGATTGTTCAAATAATTTTTCTTCTCCGTATTATATAGTAATAGATATGTCAAGGTATACATAAAAAAAAAATTTAACTTTATTTCCAAATAAGTCTGTTGGATTTTCATAAACTAGTGCATAGCCGATGCACGAAACATATATATTAAATAAGTCATTTCTATAGAGCTTGTACGTTTAGGCGAAAAATAATAGGATTGGATTATCCATTTTCCACTTCTTTCACAAAGCAAAAAAAATATTTTTTTATTTTTTATAAAGTAAATATATATATGTTTTTTTTAAGTGAGGAGGACAAAATTATTTTTTACGGGACGGTAAGTAGTAATAGGGGCAGTGTTTAATAACATCCTAAAAATAATGATATTTCACTCACCAAAAAGTACCTAGTTTTTTACTCCATTAAGTTACCTAGTACTACTTTAGTGCTATTCAACAAACGTCCTTCAATCTCAGTCAACTCCACAATGTCNACAAAAAAAAAAAAAAAAATTACTCATAGCACAAGAAAATTTAATAAAAGATCAAAAGGCAAACAGGACTTGATGAAAATGGTGAGTGCCATTGGCCAATAGTTTCCATATTGATCAGCAACAAAACCTTGAAATTCAAAATTGTATTGCATCCACACAAATTTGTTTTAACAGTAAACGCCAAACATCATTATATTTTTAAACCTGCACCAGTTTGAAAAAGGCCATATACAGAAAACCCAGTTTAATTCAACATCAGTGTGCAAATCACACGAGCTCTATCTTTCAAAACCCACTTGCACTTACCTAGAAACTCAACATTATTAGAAGAATGAATGAATTGAATGATATAAGCCGATCGAATTTTGTACAATAGTTCCTAACATAATGGCATAAACGAAAACGAAATAAAATGACTCGGCACCATCAACTAAACAAATAGCAGCCAATATCATTGTCCAAACTTTGAGTCTCGATACTTAGCGTTAATTCTTCACTAATGCACAATTCTAGTCCACACAAGGGTTCTCCCATTAATATCTCTCTCGGCGAAAATTGACATACGAAAGCTTCCAAAGCTTCTTTCATCCAAGAATGAGAGCATGTTTCTCTAGCCTCATTAACCGTCATCTGCACGGAGAATAAAATACCTCATCACTACTTAAAATACACAAACACAATAATCGACATTGCATTTCAAGAATGTTACGAAAAAGTTTTCGTTAAATTTGAGAAACACACCCAAACTCGTCTACGGACATTTTTCTCGGGCCAAACGTCTAATTCTTCGGTGACCAACATCGCGAACATGGATCCCTCGTGAAATTTTTCTTGGCTTTTGCTCTTGAAAATCCATTCGCCTAGTTTTGCCTGCACGAAAAAATGGGTGCTTTTTTTAGAAAAAGATCGAATTTTTAGCAATTGGGTCGTCATTGTTTGTGAAAAGAATACTAACCCCGAGCCAGTAACACCGGCTTCCTCTAAAGTTTCACGTAAAGCGGCTAATTCGATATCCTCGTCGAGTTCCCAACCTCCCTGATGGATTAAATTGCAATAAAGGATAAAGAGTTACTACAATTTTTTCACATGTATCAATATTTTTTGATAATTTTCAAATAGATTGGTTATGTGGGCGCANAAAAAATTGAAATCACATGACCCTCTTCATTTCCTCAGTCATAGGAATCTATTTGCCCAATATTGCTCATCCAAAAATTTAATTAAAAAAAAAAGGAAAACCCTGATGACAAGATAAGAATCAAAGAAAAAAAAAAGCAACCATAACGGCAATTTTCCCATTCCACAGCAATTAAACAAATTAAATTTGAATAAGAGCAAATAACAGAACAAGAAAAGGAAAACAATTACATACCCAACAACTTGGCGAAACCCTTGATTGTAACGCTGCAAATGTCTGCCCGCACGAGAAGGCGACAACGCCAGCTGCTTGATTTCCAGTGTCATTCTTATAATAATTTAAATAAAGATCAAATAATGAAACAAAAAGTAAGATCCCCAATGAACAAAGACCCTCTATTTACAGAAAGATAATATATTTTACTTGCGTACAAGCTACAAATGATTTTCTAAATGGGGATAAATAACTAAAGATGCGAGTTTTGTAATTTTTGGACAAGTTGTAATTGAATGGCTTGTCCACCGCTTTATATAGGGACGTATTAATATGAGGCATAATGATTGGCTGTATTTTTATTTTATTTTTTCCTTTTTACAATCTTGTGTGAGAAAAAAAATTTCTCTAAGTAAGATTTAATTTATAATAATATTATTTTTATGTTTGAAATTCCACTTAGTTAGGTTGTGACTTGTGACTTGTGTGTGTTGTTGTCATGTAACGCGTCTGCAAAGTCGTTTTCCATGTTGCAGGGAAAGGTAAGGGGCATCGTGCGTATTTAAAAATGGATAAAATATACAAGACCCCTTGTATTATAAGAAATCTGCGCGTTTTTCCTCTGTATTTTAAAAATTGCGTCAGACCCCCTTCTATTAAGGTTTTGTATGCGCGAAACACCCAAAGATTTTGGGTGTTTCGCGCATACAAAACCTTAATAGAAGGGGGTCTGACGCAATTTTTAAAATACAGGGGGGAAACGCGTAAATTTCGTATAATACAGGGGAGTTTTGTGCATTAAACCCATTTAAAAATTATACGCATAGAAAAAGGGCCGTGTCTAAAGGTGCAGTTGCATGTGACTTTCTTATTGTTGATAAAAATTCTTTGGCCACTTGAACCTTATTGAGATTGTTATCTATCAAGCATTTTTTAGTCCCCTATGCTATGCGGTTGTTATACTTGCTCTTTCCATGTGAGATTCTCTTGTCTCTAGACATGACCAACGGCTAGCAGGGCCGTCTCCAAAAATTTGGAGTCTCCATACAAATTTTTACGAGTAGCCCGTAATCGTACTTCTATATTTTAAAATTTTTAATTGAACAAATAATATTAAATATTGGCAACAATAAATACAAAAATACAATGAATATGTAAACAAAAGTAAACTAAAATAACAAAAGCTTACAACTTTCTCGTGCTCTTTTGTACAAGAATTGTCGATCAAGTCACTATAATCAAGTTTCGAAACTATTTTGTTTTCCGCATTCGGCAAAGATCGTTTATAGAGTTTATCGTTGAAACTTCTACCTTTATCGTTAATAGAATACACGACATTAGTCTCAATTGAATACATGCAGATTTTTTAAAAATTTTAAAAAGTTTCAATTGAATACTCCAAACTCCAAAGAGAGGTTAGAGATGGAAAATTAACCAGAATATAAGATCCCACCTGGGTTCAAAACTTAATCATTGCAGTCCAGTTCCTGTGGCATCTGTAAGGGTGGCACCAATATGGGTTAGTGAGCTGCTGAGTGAGGATGGAAAAGAGTGGAATGAAGGGTTGCTGAGACAAATCTTTACTGACAAGGACATCAAGTCCCTTGCACCAGATAAACCTGACAGATGGAGATGGGATCTAGCTGATAATGGCAGATTCTCTGTTGCCATCTCCTATAGCCATCTATTGGTACAAAAAATTCTCAAACTTGATGTAGCTGAAGGAAGTGGATCAACATTGTTTGATAAAAAGCCAAATACAGAACATGGAAACTGCGGGTAAGGGGAAGTTAAAACACTTTATGTAGAAGTGTTTCACAGGGAACTTACTAGTGAGCATTAATGTGACTAAAAGGGGAATGAAGGCATACCCGATTTGCAAAATGTGTGGGGAACACATTGGATCTACAGAACACCTCCTACTAAGCTGCAGCAGGGCCAAGTTAGTTTGGAAACTGGCCCCCATTGATTAGGAGGAGAGCCATATGAACACACAATCCTTCAAACTGTGGTGGTGGCAGGTATTCGAACTTGATAATTCCGAGATAGCTGAAGACCGTATTCAATTATCTACGTATATTTTATGGTGACTATGGCGTTCTCGGAATCTGTGGCTATTTGAAAATGTATGGATGCCAGAAGAGGTTGTGGTCTGAGGAGCTTGGAGAGAATGACAAGAGTAAGCGGCCTTGAAGAGCTAGCTAGGATGGATGTTTTCCCCTTCTCTGTGTTTTTTTGCTTTTTGTGTTGCTTAGTTTGGTGTAGGTAGTTATTTAGTTGTTTTGGATTTTTGGATTGTCCGAGAGAAAGTCTCGGTGGTTGTATCCCCGCTTTTTCTCGTGTTGATTTGTTCTTGCACTCTTTGAGTGAGTCTCTCATTGTAGTTGTAATCTTGTTCGAACGTTGTTCGGTTTTTCATTTATTAATGAAATCTTCTAGGGCAACTTCTNTAGTTTTCTCTCTCTTTCCACTACAATCATTTTTAGTTTTTTATTATTTTGTCTCCCTCTTTCCATATATTTTTCTATTATTTTCTTTATATCATCTTTACTATTTATCTCTCATACTACTAATTTTTTTTATTAATTAATATAAATTTATTTTTGTATAAACTAGCCAAATCAAAATAATTTATATTTTACTAATCTTTATTTCATAAAAATCTATATTATACTAAACCTAGAAATCTATATTTTTGCCTTCAAATTTATCAACTAATTCTCTAAAATTAAATTATTAATTTTTAATTTTATTAAAAAATATTTATTCAAAGATCTATCTAATTTATCTAATTTTTAAGAGGAATATACCAACTAGTACGATACTCGTGTACTACACGGGTACGTAAATATATTAATATTTGTACAATAGAGAAATTAAATAATTTATTTTATATTGTAAAATTATGTATAATGAATAACTAACAAAGTAATAATTAATTCGAAATGGAGTCCGTATTTTTGCACTTAATTTTCTTATTTTATTTAAAATCTATGATAAAATACATTAAATGATTATTTTATGATGTATTACTGAATTAGATTTTTATTATATTTTTTATAAGATAATTTATGTTGTATTCATATTTTCGAAATTATTTTTTTTTAAATATAGTTTTATTTAAAATGATAGATGTAATTATTTTTTATTTTATATATACAATATGCATGTCAATCGAAGATCATTAAAATATGATTATTTTGAGATATAACATACAAAAATAAAATAAAAATAAAAAAATTATAAATATTCAAAAATAAAAAAGAATGCATATTATTATAACAATTATGAAATAAATAAGAAAGAGTAAGAGTAGTATATGGTAACTTGAGAAAAAAAAAAAAATTAAAATAGTTTATTCTAATTCCCAAGCCTAAAGCTGAATATGTACACGTATCAATACAAATCATATAATTATGCCAAATAAACTTTTGAAGCATATGAGCCTGCTTCGGATCAGACCATTTAAAAATTATATATACAAGCGATTTATAAAATTATCATTAATATCTTATGACAAGTTATTATAGGAATATGCTAAAAATTGAGAATTATATCACCTTGATTTTATAACAAATCAACTTAAAATTCGACTTCCATACCTATACCAATAAAATTCATACCACTTATTTTATTTTAAAAATTAAATACAATTCTATCCATACCAAATGGAATTCATATCATTTAAATTTGAACATTTCATGCCAAAATAAAAATCGCCCACATTTTATTAATCATAATACTCAACATTATTTTATTCTAAAATTTAATGTCCTATAATATTAACTAAAATATTTTTTAAAATTAACAACCTAATTTTATTATATGCAAATATATGATATTTCTAACAAACAAAATTTTATACTCTAATAGCTTACGCAATAAGAATTTCTACTTACGCTGTGTAGTATAAGAGGCAAAACGCGGAGAATTACGTTATAAACATTTTAAAACACTAAAAGGAATATAATTTCAATATAAATGGTCATTAAGGCAAGATTATATCATTTATTGTGAAATCCTGTGCGCCAAGGACTAGAATTTTAAATATTTATTTGTTGAAAGTTAAAATATTAAAATTTTTTAAAGTTAAAAAGTAATAATTTTAAATATTTATTTTAAAAGATAAAAAATAAATTTTAATTTCATTTTAATCTAAATATGTGATAACATTAAAATATAATCTATTTAGAAAAATAAATTTATGTTCTTTAAATATTTAAAAAATATTGTTTGTGAATAAAATTTATATTTTCGGAAAAGTTAAGAACATATAAAACTAATACCCGAAAAATTCTATTTTTGGTAGTTTTATACACAAATAATATTTTCTATAAGTTTATTTACAAAAAATAAAACTATGTTTCTAAATATTTTATATTTTAATGTTATCACATATTTAGATTAAAATTAAGTTAATATTTATTTTTTAACTTTAAAAATATATTTCATTATGGTTTTGCATAAATGTAAATTATGAAATAATTATCTTATTAGAAAATTTTACTAAAGATATTTAATATTTTAATTATAAGTACTTAAAATAATTTATTTTTTTTTTAAAAAAAAAGTATTGTTGTTTACAAATTATATCAAAATACAAATTGATATGGAGTCTTAAATTGAAAAGTAGAATGTAAAAGTAGGACTTTTATTGAGAATAACTTAAAATTGAAACCTTCAAATTAAAAAATTACAAATTTAGGCCTTATTGTGACACAATAACAAAAAGTCAAGCCCTACAATGAAATTTTCTCCCATGCCACGTGGATCGTTCACGCGTGATTTGGTTTAGAAATAATGAAAGTTAAAATATATAGATAAAATTTGGAGTACTCATGTATGATCATTCAATGAAATGAAGTGTGTCTTTTAATGAGATAAAGTGTATTAGTAGTTTTTTTTTATTAGTGTGTTGAATTCGTGACCAATTTGCGATTAAACTTAATTAAACACATTTTATATTTCATAGAACCTAATGTGAGAGTGATAATGAGTCATATAAACATCATTTGAGACCAAAATTCGGCGTTTTTTTTATGTTCGTCGGAGTTGGTACTAAAGACCCGATATCTGGTACTAAAATACCAAAAGCTGGTACTATCTTACTCTAGGTCTGGTACCAATTTTTGCAAATGTTGACCAAAATTGAAATAATCCATTTTCGTTGACCAAAAGTAGGTACTAATTGATTAAAAACAGGTACTACGTAGAAGAAGAAGGGGTACTATTTCTGTCAAAACTGGTACTGTTTTAGTAATCGTGATTTTTTTTAATCCTCCATGTCTACCATGCCCGTGGATTGTTCACGAGTGATTTGGTTGAGAAATAGTGGAAGTTAAAATATAAAGGTAGAATTTGGAGTAATCATGTATGATCATTCAATAAGATGAAGTGTGTCCTTTAATGAGATGGAGTGTATTAGTAGTGTTTTTTCATTAGTGTGTTGAGTTCGTGACTAATTTGCGATCAAACTTAATTAAACACATTTTAAATCTCATAGAAACTGATGTGAGAGTGATAATGGATCATATAAACATCATTTGGGACTGAAATTCGGTGTTTTAATGTGTTCATTACAAGTGGTACTGAATACCCAATATCAGGTACTACAAAAATATAAACCTGGTACTATCTTACTCTATGTCTGGTACGAATTTTTGTAAATGTTGACCAAAACTGAAATAATCCATTTCCGTTCACAAAAGTAGGTACTAATCGATCAAAAAGAGGTACCACGTAAAAGAAGATGCGGTACTATTATGGCTAAAACAAGTACTATTTTAAGAATTTTGATTTCTCTAATCCTTCATGTCTACCATGACACGTGGATCGTTCACGCATGATTTTGGATGAAAAATAGTAGAAGTTAAAACATATAGGTAGAATTTGTAGTAGTCATGTATGATGATTCTATGAGATGAAGTGTGCCATTCAATGCTATGAAGTGTATTAATAGTGTCTTCTCATTAGTGTGTCGAGTTCATGACCAATTTGCTATTAAACTCAACTAAAAACACTTTAAATCTCATAGAAACTAATGTGAGAGTGATTATGGGTCATATAAACATCGTTTGAGAACGAAAATCGGTATTTTTTTTTATCTTCGTCAGAGTTGGTACAAAAGAACCGATATCTGGTACTAAAACACCCAAAGTTAGTACTATCTTACTCTAGGTATGGTACCAATTTTTGCAAATGTTGACCAAATTAAATTGAAGTAATCCATTTTTGTTGACCAAAAGTAGGTACTAATTGATTAAAAACAGGTACTACGCAGAAGAAAAAGGGGTAATATTTCTGTCAAAACTGGTACCGTTTTAGTAATCATTATTTCTTTAATCCTTCATGTCTACCATGCCCGTGGATCGTTCACACGTGATTTGGTTGAGAAATAGTAGAAGTTAAAATATATAGGTAGAATTTGGAGTAGTCATGTATGATCATTCAATGAGATGAAGTGTGTCTTCTAATGAGATGAAGTGTATTAGTAGTGTTTTTTCATTAATGTGTTGAGTTCATGACTAATTTGCGATTAAAATTAATTAAGCACATTTTAAATCTCATAGAAACTAATGTGAGAGTGATAATGGATCATACAAACATCATTTGAGACCGAAATTCGGTGTTTTTTTTATGTTCGTCAGAGTTGGTATTAAAGACCCGATATCTGGTACTAAAACACCAAACGCTGGTACTATCTTACTCTAGGTCTGGTACCAATTTTTTGCAAATATTGACCAAAATTGAAGTAATCCATTTTCGCTTACCAAAATTTGGTACTAATTGATTAAAAACAGGTATTACGCAGAAGAAGAAGAGGTACTATTTTTGTCAAAACTGGTACCGTTTTAGTAATCGTGATTTCTTTAATCCTCCATGTCTACCATGTCATGTTGATGCGTGATTTGATTGATAAATATTGAAAATTAAAACATATAGGTAGAATTTGGAGTAGTCATGTATGATGATTCAATGAGATGAAGTGTGTCTTTTAATGAGATGAAGTGTATTAGTAGTGTTTTTCATTAATGTGTTGAATTCGTGACCAATTTACGATTAAAATTAATTAAACATATTTTAAATCTCATAGAAACTAATGTGAGAGTGATAATAGGTCATATAAACATCATTTGAGACTGAAATTCGGTGTTTTTTTTATGTTCGTCGGAGTTTGTCTTAAAGACCCGATATCTAGTACTAAAACACCAAAAGCTGGTACTATCTAACTCTAGGTCGGGTACCAAATTTTGCAAATATTGACCAAAATTGAAGTAATCTATTTTCAATGACCAAAAGTAGGTACTAATGATTAAAAACAGCTACTACGCAGAAGAATAAACGGTACTATTTATGTCAAAACTGGTATCGTTTTAGTAATCATGATTTTTTTAATCATCTATGTCTATCATGCCACGTGGATCGTTCACGTGTGATTTGGTTGAGAAATAGTGGAAGTTCAAGCATATAGGTAGAATTTGGAGTAGTCATGTATGGTTATTCAATGAGATGAAGTGTGTCTTTTAATTAGAAGAAGTGTATTAATAGTGTTTTTTTATTTTTTTTATCATTAGTAGTGTTTTTTCATTAGCGTGTTGAATTCGTGACCAATTTGTGATTTAACTTAATTAAACACATTTTAAATCTCATAGAAACTAATGTGAGAATGATAATTGGTCATATAAACATCATTTGAGACCGAAATCCAGTGTTTTTTATGTTTGTCAGAGTTGGTATTGAAGACCCGATATCTGTACTAGAACACTATAATTGCGGTACTATCTTACCCTAGGTCTAGTATTAATTTTGAAAATGTTGACCAAAATTGAAGTAATCCATTTTCGCTGACCAAAAGTAGGTACTAATTGAATAAAAACAGTTACTACGCAGAAGAAGAAACGATACTATTTTTGTCAAAACTGGTACCGTTTTAGTAATCGTAATTTCTTTAATCCTCCATGTCTATCATGTCACGTGGATCATTGACGCGTGATTTGGTTGATAAATAGTGGAAGTTAAAACATATTGGTAGAATTTAGAATAGTCAGGTATGATCATTCAATGAGATGAAGTGTGTCATTCAATGATATGAAGTGTAATAGTAGTGTTTTTTCATGTGTGTGTTGAGTTCATGACCAATTTGCGATTAAACTTATTTAAACACATTATAAATCTCATAGAAACTAATGTGAAAGTGATCATTGGTCATGTAAACATCATTTGAGACCGAAATTCGTTGTTTTTTTATGTTCGTCGGAGTTGGTATTGAAGAATCGATATTTGATACTAGAACACCATAATTGCGGTATTATCTTACTCTAGGCCCAGTACTAATATTGAAAATGTTGACCAAATTTGAAGTAATCAATTTTTTATTCTTTCTACAAAGTAGGTACTAATTGATCAATAAGTAGTACTAACGTGCTAGAGTCCAAATGTTCAATCACATAACTGGCATTCACATGCCTAACAAATGAATCAAGCGATGTTTTGAAAAAACATGCAAAACGCACTATGAAATTATACATGGAGAAGGCATTTGTTTGAGGTATTCAGACAGAATCAGATCCTTTTCAATACGATTTCAAATATGCTTCTGAAATTCAATTTGCATAGTAATACGATACCAAAGAGGAAACACAACCAATAAAAACATAAAAAAACAAATTTAGCACCAACATACTCAAACAAAAATTAAATAAAACTGAATACTCAATAAGTAGACAAACTACAAATCTCCATTCAAATTCCAACTGCCCCATCCTAAACCCACTCCAAAGAACAACACTGATGCTCCATAAGACACTATAAACCAAATCAGACCAAAACCATTTAAGAAAATACCAATTATCCCAAATGCATTAATCAAACACCGGTGGATCCAAATCCGGCAGACCCTCTTTCGGTAGAATCAAGATCATCAACCTCACTGACCTCATCACCAAGTTTGTTAGTCTTATATAATAGATGAAGGCATAAGATAGTGTTATAACAGATGGAGGCATAACAAATTCAACATATGCATATCCCTTGGGCTGTCCATACTCCACATTGCCGACAAAAATTGATCGGGAATCCACTTCTTTTCTATTTGCCTGGTTAGATGCAGATCTCCTTGAACGGAGCCCATCTCCTGCTCGACTTTCGCCTGCATTTTGCGGAGAGCGGCGGCTTCATCCTCCATCTCCTTCAGCCTCTTCTTCATATCGTCCAGCTCGGCAGCTCCTCCCTCGGCTCCCGCCTCCGCTGCCGCCATCTCCATCAAACTCTCTCGTTCCGCCATCTCCATCAAACTCTCTCGTTCTCAGGTCGTGGTCGTCCTTTTGGAAAATCTCATAAACTTAACCCACAAATTTGTTCCAATATGAGTTCTTAGCACTTTTTATTTTTCCTGACAAAAATCCAAGAAAATTTCATTCCTTTTGCCCATTTCAAAGATTGAAAAAAAAATATTACGAATTCCTTGTTGATTTCAGCCGAAAATAGTAAGAGGAATGACAATCAAACAAAAATAAAAAAAATAGAAGTGATTGAAAACAAGAATCATGTACAGGTATTTTATGAATTTAAATCCATAAGTTATATATAATCTTCTAACGCAATGAAATGAAGATGAATATCATACCAAAGCTTTTAGCTTTAATTCAATTACCACGCACCGATATCATCATCACACTAACAGAAAGCTACATAAGCTATTCTGCAATCAACCTCACTGCATTATAAACTCTCCCAAAAACCACTTAGGTGTAATTTCCATGAAAGAAACTCAATGAATAACAAAATTGTACCTCAAATTGAAATAATTGTTCGGGTCCTTCGCTGCTTGCTCCCTCGAAAACTGCCAATTCAGAATTCAAGCTCCGTGGGGAGTACGCGCGGCTCAGCTTCCCGAACCTGCGAAACCTGGCACGGCTAAGATCGGGGGGCCTGACCTGGTGGACTAGCTGAGGCGAACCGTGGACGCCAAGATCCAGGTCATGTGGCAGAAGGTGAGGCGGAGAATAGGGCCCGAAGAACCGCGACGAAGAAATCAAAATGCGGCGGTGATGTTATAACTTCCGGCAAAAGCGAGGGGAAGGAGAAGGGCGCGGAGGCGGAGGCGGAAGCGGCGGCGGGAACGCGGAGAGGGCGTTTCGGAAGAGGGGTTTTCTGGGGCGGAGGAGAATCGTATTGGGGCTTTGTTTCTTTTTTTTTTTCTTTTTTTAATATTTTTCTAATTTTGTGATTTATAAATAAATAAATGAATAATAATAGTATTAGTATTTATATGTGGAATTGAGAGGAAAGAGAAATATGTATTAGGAAGTGCAGAAAAAAATTAAATGCACTGGATACTGACAAGAAAGATGAATTGTGAATTGGGAATTTAACAAGAATTAACCAAATCTTCTATCATTGGAAAAAAAAAATAAATACTCCAAACTCCAAAATTTTGAAAGTCCTAAAAAATCTTAATTGAATATATCTCGAGAACGTGACATGTTACACCGGGACCCAGGGAAAAGGCCGAAGAAGAAGGTAAAAAATTTATATCCAAACAATCAACAGTAAAATTCGAGTTAATTTGAGTGGGAGTTTTCTGTATGCAAACACCTTTCGTCTCTAGCGGTAAACAGATTCGAGGAGGAAATAATTCAGCAGTTAGCAGGTAGCTATGGAGGCTGACGGAACAACTGCCTTTAGAAGAAAAAGAACCAGGAAAGAGGTAAAGCAGTTTTCTCCATCTCCTCTGAGTTTTGTCATCACCGATCATTAATTATTGAACTGTAGAGAACAAGAAGGGGCGTCTTTTTCTTTCACCCAATTTAATATAAATTCTCAGGATTTATTATTTCTGAAGGCAGATTCTTGAAAAGAAAAAGGCAACTGAGAATGCGATTAGAGTTGCTTCTATGATAAAAGATCACACCTCTAAATTCCCAAACTTTCGCCACTACCAAAGAAATGGTTAGTATTGTGAGCATTGTTTTTTTCCTAGCGTCTTTGATGTCTAGCTGCTATTTTGGAATTTTGAATTTGCATGCAGAATGTATAATGATATGGTTCTTGTTTGGATTGAGTAATTAATCATTTGAAAGCTCAAAATTATCGAATTCAGTTTGGCCTGTGGGGATTGTCAGCGTCAGACATTGTTTTTGTGTGTTCTTCTTGTGTGTGTTGCACTTAGCACTCTGTAGTAAAGGGCACACTATATCTGCCCATATCACTTATCATTTATTGGGTAGTGAAAATGCAGACAAACAACTGTGTGTTGGACAAATTGGGTCCGACTGGGTTGATGATTGGAGGTGGGATTTTTATTATTTACAATGCTTGTAATGAATAGAATCTGGAAATGGTACTTGTTTGTTAAGCTGATTGTAATTGGCTGTTCTTGACATACATTTTGCTCTGCGGGAATTTTCTCGGCATCGAAACTGTTTGTGTTTTCTTTTTGTGTGCGTTTCACTAGCACACTGTATTAAAAGGGTACACTTTATCTGCCAAGATCATTTATTTAGTCATGATAATACGGACAAACAACTGTGTGTTGGAAACATTGGGTCAGATGGGATTGATGAATGAAAGGTGGGATTTTGATCATTCACAATGCTTGTAATTGGGTTGACTTGCTGTAATTTTTCTTACATGCCTAATTTTTCTTGTCTTGAAGTGTTCACACTCATTTAAGCAGTCATTGCTCTTGTATATCTTCTTTACACCAGAGTATTACTCTCTCTCTCTCTCTCTCTCTCTCTCTATGTGATTGAATGAGGTATAATTCTGTGTTAATCTTGAATTTTTTAACTATTAGGGTTATATGCACACTTATCGGCTGGACGTGGCAATAAGCTCACATTGCCTACAAAACAATACATTCAAAAACTTCTTAAGGTATCAGCGGTATCCTTAGGTTGTATATTCTGGATATATTTAACCTGTATTTAGATGGGTTGACATTGTGCTCATATTTTCCTGTTAGGTTAATATGGAAGTACCTTTTGGACCTGAGTGGGCAGCTGAAGAAAAGATAAAGCGGCGGGAAATGGTTGCAGAGGAAGCTCATTATATATTCGTTCATGAGATTTCTAATGAAGATGACAGTGTAGTGAAAAGATTAAAGGACGAGGGGAGGACATGCAGTTGTGCGGGTCCCATTGTTGGGTTTGTCCATTACCGATTTATTCTGGAGGAAGAAGTGCCTGTGGTTTATGTTTATGAGTTACAGCTCGAGGCTCACATTCAAGGAAAGGGATTAGGAAAATTCTTAATGCAATTAATTGAATTTATTGCTTGTGAGGTGTGATTATGCATTACCATTTCTGATCCATGTATATTTGAAGTTTTTTGTTAGCCTGTTACTCTATTAATCCCACACATGACATAGATACTTCTTGATGATTGGTGAACCTTCTTTACAAGCTTTCTGTTTGACTTCTCTTTCTTGATTTTAGTAACAAGGTGTGTCAACATAAAAATGCAACTTAATTTTCGGTACCATGGTGTTTCTTTTACACTGAGCCATGTTCAGAGAAACTCATCTGTTCTCTGCTATATTCACAGAACAGAATGGGTGCTGTGGTGCTGACTGTTCAAAGAGCAAATCTGGCAGCAATGGACTTCTATATCCGTAAACTTGGGTAAGTACTAAATAGCTATATATATCATCATTTCTACATGTTCATTGGGAATAATTTGATTACATATTGGTTTTCTCTACTGTAGTTGAATTGGTTAGAATTTGAAGTGCCGAGTGTCAGTACGTAGTCGAGCATGAAAATAACATTATGTTTCCCAAATCAACATCATGTGCTTAGTGCCATTTTGTTAATGTTATAGTAATTGTATCCATATGTATATCCCAATGGAGAATAGAATGGACCTCGGCCTAGGCTCATCTATGAGTTGTGAAACTAGAGACCATATCTATAAAGTTTATTTTAAAAAAGCAGCAAACAACCATCTTAGTTGTTCCAGAAGTATTCAGAAAATGGCTGCAATCATAATTCTTTCATGACAATAGTTTATGGTGCTCCCAGAACTTGTCTAAAACAAGTCAAACAATATTCTGGGATTAATCTATTGATGAACAATGTTATGAATGATAAGATTTTGAAATGCTTTATGTATGCTTGTTGTTGGATTTGATTAGATTACCAAAGTGAAACAAAGACTGATAATTTGCGTTATGATAGTCCTGCTGAGAAAAAGATATCTGAAAGATAAAATAGTATGCCATGAAGCATGTTTGGTCTGCAAGCCAGCTGGGCTCTCACCATCTTTGTTGAATCCTTATGTTTAACTTTGCCTGCGAAATTTCCATGCAGAAGTCTTTACTGCTCAGGCTTTGTGTTTGGAACATAGAACTTCTAACAAATCAATATGATGCCTTTTCTTGCAATAATCTTTTCCCAGTTTACTTGGGAAGGTTATAACACCAATAAAAAATAAAATAAGCACTCTGCATTTGTTTTTCTGTGTGCTTCTGAATTCTTGAGAATGGTCGAGCAATGATGGCGATTCCTATCAAGCATGAATAATTGGATATGCTTCTTAAATTAAGTACTCAATTAAAGCCATATTCGTAGTTTGAGTCGTGGTACATAATTGTGGATGTTCAACTATTCATTCTCGATCTTTTGCAGGTATATAATTTCTGCAATTTCACCTTCGAGAGTTGATTCATTGGTTAGAACACTATGTTGCACTTCCAAGTTTTATCTCTCAATTTCCATTGCAATTCACGATTTTCAATCTTTTATTTTGGTCCTAATTCATTTGTGTTTCATCTTCATTATATGCAGTTGGGACAAGAGAGAAGCTATGAGATTCTTTGTAAAACATTTGATCATGAAGCTAAAGCTGTCTTGGAGGTGAGTTAAACATGCACATGATATTCATAAACCTTATAATTATATGAATTGGTGATTGATCTTGTAAATGCGTGAAGATCTCCGGTGAAAAGGATATGTGGATGTTATTATGGAAATCCGCGATAAATAGTTGAGTAAGAAACGGTTTTTCCTGTCAGAAGCCGTAAAAGGTCAATATTTCTTTGTAAAATGCTATGAACATGAAGCAAGCACTTCTTTTAAGGTTTGTTAGTGTTATCAAATCTGCTACAGTGGGATTTCCACCATCAGCCATTGATAACTGAAGTTTGTTAAGCCTTTGATAGCAATAATTAAGCCTCATGATTTTCCACTCATGCAATTTAGCATGTGAGCATGGGATTCTCAAAAGTTTTCCATTACATGTTATCTGATGTATTCTCCGACAAATATGGTGAAAAGATCATCTCCACTTCATCAAATATGGTCCAGAGATCATTTGTGCTCCATCTAATATGGTCTTCTGAGTTTATGGGGATACAATGTGATATTCCTATGGTTTATCTGGATCAATTGTTTGTTTCCATATTCTCTCTTGGTTTGTACATCCTTGACCTAGAATTATTTCAAATATAAATCTGTAGAGAATTTGTCAAATAGAGCTTATAGCAATTCATTGTGACATCTGAAACGCCTTTATTTGTAGTTTCTGCCTGGATATATATACCCTCTGAGAAGTTGACACATGTTTATGTACTGCACCATGGCTTTGTTGACATACCCATTTTGGTCTAGATATATGTTAGATGTTAGTTGGCATTGGTCTTGTTGGATTTAACAGGAATTGTAGTTTCTGTGTAGATATATATTCGCTTCCGTAAGCTGACACAGATTTATTGCATCACGACTTTGTGGACATACCCATTTGTCTAGATATATCTTAGATGTCGGTCGGCATTGATGTTGTTGGATTTAATAGGAATCCTAAAACCTGAAGAGGTAAAAAATTGTGATGAAGTAACGAGAGCTTCTAGTGTGTTTAAGTGCTTGCTGATAATAAATGGGCCTAGGTAGAAATCATCCCAAAAAGCTAGCTCAAAGGAAGAGGGTGCCCAATCCACACTAATACATAATGACAGCCCCAGTAACAAATCGATGTGGGACAAACATAACTTTTAACACAGCATGCCACTCCAAATATTGCCTCCAAAGTCCAAACAAAAACCTGCCTTCTGATACCATGATAAATGGGTCTTAGTGAACTCATCCCCAAAAGCTAGCTCAAAGGGAGCGGGTGCCCTACCATACTTGTACACAACAGCAGTCCAGTGGCAGTGAGAAATTGATGTGGGACAAGCATAACTTCTAACACTTGCTTATTTACGTTCTTCTCAAAATGAAGAAAGCATGTGCCATTTATTGTAATCTATCCATTCTAAACCGTTTGACTGCCAGTCCTTTGGAAAATTCTCATGACAATATCTGGTATATGTTCCCTTCCCTATACAAATGACTGCCGTGAAACGATTAACTTCGAAACTTTTTTTCTATATCATTTTTCTGTTGTGAAAGTGCAATCAAAATTCAGTTACTTGGGTGATTGGAGAACAATGTATAACAGAAAGGATAGTTGAGTATAGTTCAGAAGTTCCAGTTCTCTATTTTAACTATTTGTTTTGTTATAAAATTATCTTTCATCTGAACCTGTCCCCAGATGAATTGTTTTATATTGCTTAAAGCTGGAGTATGTATTGTCAAAGATTAATGTGTCAAGGTGCTTGTGACGACTTCGTTTTCCACGAGAGACAACAATATACCTTTATCTTTTATAGTCTCTGTTTGAAATTTCTTAAGTTGAAGAAAATCTAGGCATACACATGGCGTAAGTTGATATATTTTCCTCTTCTATAGCTGGGGGTGAGGTATACACGCATATTATGTTTAGCCAGTTTGTTGAGTTTCAGTTAAATCCCCTCTTATATATTTCAGTCTCTATTATTACATATTAAGGTTGGTGTTGATATGCGCCCTTCTAGGAACAAAATGAAATAGCCTAAATGAATTACAAGGACTAGGAATACATCATGCTGCTTATTTGTCTCGAGTTACGAATCAATCACCTTGCAGTCATTTCACCCCCTCCCATTTTTTCTTGTTTACATTTTGGATATAGAGGGAAAAAATGTCAACAATTAAGTGGCCAAATTTGTTCGAGAAGGTGTTCAGGCCTTTTCAAACTTCTAGAATACTCGAAACATATGCTTCGAAAATCGCTCTAACGGGTCTATGATCAGACAATCTAGACTCGACTCTATCGTACTGAATCTGCTTTAAACCTTCCCCGTACCAAATTATCCGATCACACCTGCAGAAATTTGACCATCTTTTATCAGTTATCCACCATCAGCTCCAAAATAAAGGAAAATGTAACTGAAAGGCTTAGGAGGACAAACCATGCTGGGGCCCTCATCCTCTTTGCTTCAGTTTTTTGATTTGATCCGTAATAGTCATCCGAGTTCTGATGATACTTGTACGTCGGTGCAAAGTTGATTTTTTTTTCATGCCAACCCTCAAAGACATGGTCTTTCGTCAGCTCAGCTTTCAGCTTTGTTTCAAAATTGAACGATTAAATATCAGGATAATGAATTACATTATTATGCACTCTATTCCTTNATTTTTATTACCTGATCATTTTCTAATAAGATGCTCCACTCTTTATTCTTCACCAACGATCTTGTGGTAGCCTCGAGCAGGTAAATTCTGTAATTCAGATCCCCTAGCCAAATCACCCTACTGCATGATTTTCAGAAACAACTTTTTAGTGTTAGGAGATATACATTATGATAGATAACTTATACAGAACATCCTTCTCATATGAAAAATTAGAGAAGCTGCTAAAGATTTATCAGCCAAAAAACGATTAAAGATGAGACGAATGGATCTGATGTAAGTACTCGTGGTCAAGGATTTTCCTAGGCAGATGATGGAAGGGTTCGACTGGAAAAAGTGTGTGTGCCAATATATGTCCTGCGTCTGTATTTCTGTATCTCTCGTCTCCTTCTTTACCACCCGAAGCTAAATGACAGCACACGAAGCAAAAGCTCGTTTCACGCAGGCAAAATCTGATGGAAACTGAACCCTACGTCAATTGTATAGATTTTGTCAGTTACTTGTTGAAATAAAATTCTGTGAAGTAATCATGATGAACAGATCATTGTGAAATAAAATTCTGTGAACACTCGATGTCAAATTATAAATTTAGGTCCTCTCCACTATATTCTATATGAAATAAATTTGATGCATGAACATGGCTAATAAGATTTTTTGTTACCTTATTTTTCAGGCGCCCCAAGATGCCACAGCCAACACATGAGATGCTCAAGTGGCTTATATAGTCTTGCAGTTCTGTCCGGGCCCACACGGTAATATAAATTCCCACCATTTGTTTACTTATAATACACTCATAATCTTGAGCACTTGAATTTGTGGAGCCAAGTGTCTTGAGGGGATAAATTCTTTGCACCTCCCCAACTTCCGCCTTATGTATTCTTTTGTCCTTTACCGTTCTCTTGTTGAGAGCTCCTCTAATTAAAGATTCCCACTTCATTGAAACATAAGTATTCTCTCGGACCAAAATATTCCCCACATTCAAAGGCACAATTTCTTGGAACCTGTCGAAAGCAGTATGTTGTCAGTGATCACTAACAAAACCAAATTTACCGTTCGAAAAAAGTGAAAGTTACCCAAAAACATATATATCCGCCATGCTACTTTGAGTATTTAGAAAATCCTTGAGGCTCAAGTTATCTTGTGGTGGGTTGCCTCCTACATTCCAAGAGCCTACAAACAGTCTTTTAAAGAAAAAAAAGTGGGAAAAAAAAAAAAAGAAAAAAAGTATGCAAAAATAGTGGACGTTAGTTGGTTTAATTTATATTTATAAACTTATACCGAAGTTCCGTAGAGAAAAGAACGAAGGAAGAGAGATTAAAAAGATTTTGTAATATTGAATTACTACATATTGGAACATGAACAAAAAAAAAAGAAGTTGATCGATACTTGACAGTTCCCTGTGATGTTTCTGGCAGATTATCCGAGTGTTGAACGAAAATATTGTCGGCCACCATCTTCTCAACGGCTTTACCAGCTGCCATGAGCTTGCTTCATCTAAATTATGGTATTAGGTACACTTACACCTTTTCCATGGCTGGATCTTAATGCAACAGTGTTTCGGTGTGTAATTTATAGGTGGAAATTGAACAATGGAAGTTTTAAAAATTTGTTCAGGTTGGGTGCAACTCAGAAAAAAAGGATTATATAAAAAGATTATACTGAAGGGGTTGACACTGATTGATTAGTTGGGAGGTAATGTACCTGAGAACAGCAAACAAGGATAATTGAATAGAAAATGTCATTTTGGTTTGACATGTTTTGAAGGGGTGTTATTATCTTTATACTCTAGCCACGAATTATTAATGTGTACTAATAATATGATACTAAATATGCGTCCACATGGAAACATGGACCATCTCTGCACTAGTTTGAAAAGAAAATTTGAAAAGAAAATTATGATAAGATTTAATGTTGAAAACATTTGGCTGTTTTGAATTGTGATGAATTTAATAGCATTAGGACCATTGTGAGATATTTGTGTACTTGAAATCTAGCTTCAAGTAGAGAAAAATCTCAAGTAAGTTTGAGAATAGAGTGACCAAAAGCAACACCTTTCTTTATCCTACTAAGAGATGAAGTTTAGAAGATTAAAGGATTTGAAACGCCTACGAGTCAGGTACCTATAATCACAGATACGCTTGTCGTAATTTTTTTTTTTTTTTTTTNTTTTTTTTTTTTTTTTTATAGATCCAGCTTATCTATATAATTTCATATAACTCCCATTTTTGAATTAGTTCTGTTTATACCATATGCTAAGATGACCGATGAAAGAACTACTTATTCATCCATTAGCAAATGATCGAAGGTTAGCTAATCGAGTTGTTTAAATGATCATTTCAACTAACAAAATATTGCTCTGCTCGGCCAAAGCCAAAGTGAATAGTACCTATTGGCATGCAGAAGATGGCACATTGTTCGGGTAAGCAATGCTCAAAGAGACTATAAATAGACTTGAGAACCTTATAGTAGAGGATTTTGCATCCTCGGGATTTTAAGCTACATATAGAAAGACTCATTTAGGGTATTTTGCTGAGCTAAAGTAAGAATTTAACCTTCGTGTTTCCTTCTCAAATAAGTTTTTATACGTTAAAACATTTTAATTCGTCGTCACAAACTACATAATAACAATTTCTGCCTGAAATCCAGGATGAGAAAGTAGTTCGAAAACAAAAATTATGTCCATTCAAGGACAATTATAATGTAAGAATTAGGCAGGTGCTTATGTATGGTGTGCAATCTGCTAGAACCACATGAAAGTTGGCCATTTCCTAGTTAATACAACCTAAACCTGGTGTTATTAAATCCCTACCATTACTTTCAATGGGGATTTCGGTTTCTAATCTCTCAGTGCAATCATTCTTGGCGGCGTCATTAGTAGTTATTGATTATTATAGGTGTCCCCAGGTTCGGTACGTGTTATATATGCCCAAAGGTTTGCTGGATTTAGGGTTGACAATGTGTGGCAAGTTCAATTTTCTTCCATGATTATGTGCGTGGTACATCTGGTACACAAACACTTGGTGTGGCTTTATCCAAGTGTCTTATTAAGCTTTTTCTTGTGATATTTAAATAAATATTTAAATATTTATTTAACCTTCCATATCATGTTAGTTATAAGATATAATAAGACAGAGTATCGACAAATTTAAGTAAAGTTTAATATTTTTTTTTTTTTTTAAAAAAAAAAGTCTTTAACCTTTCATTCTATTTTAAATATTTTTTTTTTAAAACACGAGAAATTCAATTGTAGATCAAGTATTACTAAACATGAAATTTAAGTGAATTTTAATTGTTATTACTATATTTTATTTGCATTTTAAAAAATTTTAAATTATATAAGATCAAAGTTGACATAAAATATATTAAAAACACACATCTATTTTTATAACTCGGTTCGGTACGGTATGAGACGGTTCGGTTCTCGGTACGGATATTTGTGAAATCTCCAGAATCATACCAATTATTTTTTCGATTCGGTTCAGTTCGGAAAAAGTCAAATGGTCAACGGTTATTTTTCGGTTCGGAGTGATTTTGGTTCGGTTTTTGAAACGGTTCGAAATTCTCCGAGTCTCATGCTCAGCCCTAGATTGAACATTAAGTCATCAAGGATGGTTCACATATTCACAACTTGACACGAGTCCTTCAGTCAGACTAGCATTTTGAAAAGGTCAAGAAATTTAACTGGAGAAGGGGATTCTGTAGACAAATATACACTGCTAACCTTCTAAGTGTCGGTTTAACCTTAACTTTCGACATTTATATTGCAATGTAAGTTGGGTTTCCAAACATTACTAAAGCCATGGATGCCCTTATTCAATAAGGTATAAACACAAACTTTAGTGCATCAAAAAGCTACCTACAAATTTGTCGACAGGTATCATCCAATAAGAAGCATCGGTAAGAACTTGTGACGCTCCTCCCAGTTATACATGTACCCCTCTAGAACAAGTACTTGCATTAAGGATTTAAGACATATTTCACTTCACCTGAGAAAAATG